AGTGAATATTCACAGTTATAAGGAAAGTTCTCTGTTATGAGACCGGTCTCTCTATCATCCTAATATGAGATAGCAGGTTTTCGACTTTCAAGTTCAATCACAAATCTCTTTTCGCAGCGATACACTTTCTCACGGCGAGTTTTTCGCTAGACAAATTTCACTCCAGGTGCAATAAATTCGTGGTGGAACCAACAGATGATGCCTATTAATTTAGCAAAATGCCCGCTATTTTGTATAGGAAACCTGTCCCGAGTCGATTATTTCCCGGAATGGGCCCCAATTATACTATTCCGTCTTCATTTGGACCTCTGAGTCGGTTTCAAACTCCAACTTGGGGTCCAGATGAGTAAAAAACTTGTGGTAAACCTCTTAGGCCGAAGAGAATCTACCGAACCTCTGTTGATTGCACTCGCATTGGCCTCTTTACTGCTAAAAGGGAAATAGCGACTTTTTCGGGCCTGCCTGAGGTAAAAGATTCAATAGATTTACTCCGACACAAAGATCTTATAGCGAATTCGGTTGGTTGCATTAGTGCGCACTGAGTGCACACTAAGCCTCGTTTCCAGTTAATTCTTATATTTAAAGATCATCTTAAATACCTCTTGCAATATTTCTTACCCAGAAAAAAGGTCTGCACAACGTTTGTACGGATCAGTTTTTGACTAAATATTCTTTGAACATGTATTCAAGACAAAGTTACATATAAAAACTGACTATAAACAAGCCTTAGTGTGCACTCGGTGTGCACTAGTGCAAGCAACCGAATTCGCTATTAGTTTGACCTCATTGCTCCCAATTAAAAAATCATCCGAGACTAAACTGAGACCAAAATACTCGAGATCTCGCAATAAGGGACTTTGTAGCAGCGAATAAAATTCAGTGCTGCACTTATAACTGTTTTCAATGATAATGCACTGAGTGACCTTTAGAGAGTATCCTCTTTCTGAATCGGTTCTGGATTCCTTATATCACGTTGGAGACTCTTTGCAAATTATGCAGTCTTACCTCTGAGAAAAAAGGAATAGGTATTTGCCCAAGTCTGACGTCCTGATCGATAAATATCAAATGTTTGACCTATTATTTTATTCTTACGATGAATATTAGATAAATATCAACAGAAAGTCAGCCACAGAAATATTACATGACATGATAATTGTGGAATGGTCCTTCTCTGCTCTTATAACATGCTAATTACACAATTTTCATTAATTCACCTGCTTCGGAAACTTCCTTTCTCTGGTTAACAAAAACGATACGACTGCCGGTGTAACAATATTTTCAATCAAGTTCTGGAGAAACAGCGATACCGAAGTTATATTGATATCTTACGAAAGTTATGTGTTCATAGTTCCGCTCCGTAAGCAAGATCTCGCTATTTTGATTTCGAGCTTCGTCAGCTCGCTGCCGGAATTAAACGTTCCCGATAACAGTCCGGATTATCGTGGCGTTATTTCGCGACTCGCAGTATATACTTGGCACGTCGGGGCTGTGCAAAAATAAAATGTTTTAAGCGCCGCGCGGCATTCCGTTGGAATCCGATACAGTGCCGCGCTTCATTTCGCGGAGCTGGGTGTGCGATTACTTAATCGAGATCGTTATCCTCCCTCTCACACTTGATGATCCTTCCACTCGTGCTATCGAATACGGAATTATCATTAACGTCTCTCTTTCTCTTTCTCTCTCTCTCTCGCGCGCGCTGTTTATCGACACACATCGTCAGTCTCTTTAAATTATATTCAAGGTTCGTATGTTATCTCCGGCGTCTTTAAACGTTCAAATTAAATCTACACGAAAAAAGAATGATGTTGTATCAACAAGATCAGTGCAATTGAAATAAAATCGTTGAAACAACAGCAGTATTAATACATGAAAAACATCAGATTGTTGTCTTAATAATCTGAATATTTAGTTCAATGCAAATAAAACTCCATAGCAAATACAATTGAGTGAATTATTTATGTTTGTGGCAGCCCGTGACATTAACGTTTCATTCAAGCAACTTCATTTTGTTTAATTCAACAGCATTTTTTCCCGTGTAAACCCAATGATTTGTGCGACTAACAGTCGTCTGATAAATTATAAGCAATGATTTTTGAGAATTTTAACAAGTATTTAAACGACTTTACTGGCAATTCTTTATTATAATAAAACGTTTCGGCCAGTACTGGTCCTTTTCAAGTAACAAACTTACAAGAGTGCCTACAAATGTAAGATTCGTCAGATTAGAGATGTGAAAATTAAGCTAGAAGTCAGAAATTTTCGTTGTACAATGTGTCTAGTCGTCAACGTTACTGGCCGAAACGTTGTATTTTATTATAATACAGAATTGCCAGTAAGGTCGTTTACATACCTATTATAAAACTTCAGAGGATTGCTTGACCATGTCTGGTAAATTTTTATGTTTAAAGTCATGACGTTTCGACCATTGTTTGTGGTCCTTCTCAAGTGATGAATTTGTCAGTAAATCAGTATGGTGAAGTAAAGGAGCCGATCATGATTTCACGAACGACAGCACATGACTGCTTATAAAATGAATTAAAATTCTTAATTTCTTGACTGGCGTCACTAAGCTGTTATTTAAATGATTTTTAACTAATTTGACATAAGAATTTTCTTATCGACAATCTGACGATTACATTATGGATAAGCATGTATAATAATATACAACAAGCGATCGCCGTAGGTCCGAGGGAATTCGCAATTGTTTCCACGTAGATCGATTGCCGTTTGCGGGAAATAACGTGCATTTTTCGTAGCTCGGAATGTGATAAATGAGACTTGGTGCTCGAACATGTTGTGGCTTTCGCGGACGATGAAAGTTTGATTTTTCGCCGAGGTCAGTGGCAGCCAGTGCGATGAGTAGAACCGCATTACCGAAGTGCCAATCACAGACGCACCGCGGCTGAAGCTTCGGCACTCAAATAGTAAAAATATTCCGCTATTTTTAACCTCTGTTGAGCTATCAGTCTCGACATGAGAAAAAAAAATGGGAATAAGATTTATGTCAGAATTTTAAGTGTTATTCGAGTGCTAATTTAATGCACTGTTCCCGACTTCAGTGCTCGGGTCATTTGGTGGGAACTCGCGATTAAAACTGGACGTGTTTCACGTCAAGCTATAGCACTCTCATTCTTAAGTACAAAATGAAAAAGTAAAATGGAGTGAAGTGCTTTCAAGTGCTTTTAACAGCAATTAACAGAACTGAGCTATCCGTTACACTTTCAGAGACACGAACCAACAAAATTGAGTATACATGCAGGAGTTAAGTGTCAAAAAATTAAAGGAGAGAATCGGTTCTAATTTTTAAACATTATATTTAAGAGATTTTATATTTCCAGAATGTAGAAAACTAATTTTGGTGGTCACTCTTTTGTCACTGAAAGTCCATTTTTAACTTGCGCAACAAGTCACGACTAACCAAAATAAAATATTCTATTAAATCACTACAAAGAATTGACTCCTGAATCTTCAACGATTTCGGTGCTCGATCTGCAAAGTATGGAAAATCAGAATTTTATATTCGTTTCTTCGAAAATGTAAACCTTTGCCGCGTGACGGGATTAACGAAAATAAAATCAAGGTGCAGAAACACGTAATTCCATGTCGCCGTGGCAAGATCGAGTAAAACGCGCTCACGTTTTATGGCGTACAAACAGAAAATAAAATTGGTATCGTTTTGTAAAAAAATTGTTCTGTAAAGTGCAAAGATATACTATGTGATATAAAAACGTTTCTTTGAGACTACGTATCGACTGGTCTCAATCGTCGACGAAATACTAGCGTGTGTTTAAATCAAACATTGCGATATGCTATAGCCGGCATCAGGAAATTTCAAATGATCTAAGGTTAAAAATACACGTCGCAATATCCGACTAGACGGGAGTTTCTCCCTCGAACTTTCGTACGGTTGAACGAACGTCAAATGTACGTGCAGCAATCCATCGGGTCGCCCGATACGGACCCGATATTATCCCGTCCAGGAACCAATTCTTTTCCGCCGCGGCTTCGGCCGAGAGATCCTGGTCTGCGGGTTCTTATTAATTCCACGAAATCTGGAACACCCAGCGTAGGTCCGGCGAGACATTAATTATGGAGTATTGCAGCGTTCCTTCGGGTCTCACAAGAAGGAAACGTATCAGGAAAGACCGAAAAAATTTCTCACGCGACGCCGAGGCATAATCGATCGGCACAGCCGAGGGACCGAGCGGGAGAGAAACCCGGTTCTACGGGTGCGCGTTCTCTCTCCCTCCCTCTCTCTCTTTCCCTCTCGTCGATATTTAACGATCCCGTGAGGAAGCGAAGGTACGAGCGGGTGGGCCATAGATATCGCTCGCGGTTCCGTAGAATCCAACCGCTTGAAGCGGGGCCGCGTCATACGCGCGTGTTATTGACCCCGAGACAAAGTGCCACGAACAAGTCGCCGACGGTGACGACGATATACTTACGGCGCGCGGATGCGCACTTACGATATTGCGCTCAACGTGTTGGACGATGTTTGCGACAATGCAACAACAGACCCGTCGATAGACCATACAAAGTCGCTCGCATGCCAACCAAGTTCCCGAGCTGCAGCTACTATCGTCCGCTATTAAAGCGCGTGACGAGCGCGAATAGCGTGACGGCTCGGAAGCGTAAGGACGATCTCGAGAGCTCACCGGCTGTCATTCATGCGGCCTTAAAGTCCGTAAGGATAACGTCGCCTCCCCCGGGGAATTAACTGACGGCGACGCTTCGAAGAAAATTAATTAGGGCGACTAATCGTCCTCGATTAGTTGTCAGGCACGCTGGAGGACGCGAACGTTTAATCGGAGATAATGAAATCGCGACCTCGAATTTTTAAGCCGGGCATGAGGGCGGGAAATGAATTGCAACGTAATTACATAAATTTTGCATTACTGTGTAGTTGCTTTTTTCCCCCGCGGTAGACTTTTATGAACCGAAAGGACTTTCTGCACGTACGCGATTATAATCGTTTATCGTAGTTAATAAGCATCCATACATGTGTTATTACATGTTTTATTCGCATATAATAATTGCACATTTAGAAATAAAATTGCGTATCGAGGAACATTTTTAGTCGCGACGGAGAAAAATGTATATCTATTCTAGACTCTATCTTATCTGTGATACTAATGTCACCTATTTGTCAGAGGTGTCTTAACCACCATCAATTTGGTCCTTCCCTCGGTAACATCCAGCCTCATAAGAAACGAATTTGGGCTCTCACGCGCTGAAAGTGTGACAACTTACCTCGGAGGTGTTCCACTTCGAGATTCGTTTCTCGTTTCTTGTTTTTATTTTCAGTTTACCCTTTTTTGTACAATTTATGTATAACGAGCTATATACATATCTTAAATTAAAGTAACTCGAGCGAATCTCTTAGTCGATTGAATAAACCTTTGAGATAATTAATAATGTTGTTGCCGACGGCATACATTGTGTTCCCTAAAGCTAATTCCATTAATCTTTGACTTGATCGAGAGAGACATTTTGATCGTGAGAGAGCTACTTCGAATTCTGTGATGCTTCGCGACGATGAAACACCGGCGACGATACATTTTGGCAAATTGCCTAGGCGGCTGAATTAAATGGTATCGCGTAACTGTATACCGATAGTTCTGTCGATATCACCGTAAAAACATGGCTCACGAAACAATTCGCAATTCAGCGTCGATCTCACGTGGATTATAAAATAGTAAAAAAAAAATACGTGGCGCGTGAGAACGAGAGATCCTGCGTAAATGGCGTGAATTTGAAATCGATTTGAATTAATCGATTGGAATTAATCGGAAGAGGGAATTGAAAACATTTGTTTAACGCCCCTGACGGAAAACGTTGCTCTTATCGTAACGATAATAATGTCATTACTTACTTACGGTTTGAGTCAATTAACTGGCACTGATTGAAGTCAAATGAACAAAAGAGAGAATTAAATAGAGGACATAATCGTCTTGGATTACACCAGTTTTTCGGCGGTAATGTAGTAAATCTTAAATGGTATACGTATATCCTAAGAATATTATCACATGCACTCATACACACACACGCGAATACACGAGCGCAGCTTCGTTGTAACTTTCCAATAGCCAATGTTTTACTGCTATTTCTTCATTTTTGTTGCTGTTATATAAATTAATCGTTCGTTATTTATCGTGAAAATCCGATTGTTGCCTGTAGTCACCGCGAATAATCACGGTAAATGACTACGATGGACTAAGCCGCGTTTTTAATCGTTTCGCAAACGCACTCACACTTACAGTCGCGCACCAGGCCGTGTTCCAAGTCGCATCGATCGTACAACTTTCATCCGCGTCGTTCAAAGTTACGTCTGCATTATTCAAACTGATCCTAGGATTCAACAAACTGGTCTGGCAAAAAAAAGAGAGACTCGCGATGAATAAATGTGGACTGGATCACGGCCTGGTCGATAATTAACAAGGACAAAGAAGTGGCTGCATCGCTGAGCGAGCCACCGCAAGCGCAGGTACATTTGGTAGCGAAAACGTCGAGTTTAATCCTAAAGAGCGAGCTTCAACTGATGCTTACCAGTTAGCAAAATCAATACTTCTGCGCTTATTATAGTTTTCAATCTAAAAAAAATCTAAGGAGAGCTCTGAAGCGCGTACTTTTTGCTGCTTAAACGGCAAGGATAAATTAATTTTCGCAAGATAGAAAATATCCCAAAGTTATCGGACGCCTTCTCAATCATTAACGATAATAGATGGCAAAGTGAAGACAAGTGGAGCACTCGTCTGGTTCGATTTGACGCAGGCTATTTATCGAGATAGGTATTCGAGCGTGAAAATGAAGGTGTCGGGACAAGCGATGAATTTTCTTCAAACTTTCATTAAACCTATCGCAAAGTCGAGAGCGCTGAAGGAATATTTGTGGAAGCACCGCTTACATAATAGCTTCTACTATTTAGGATTAAACACCTATCGCACTAGAATCCGTGGTCACGTGGGCCGGCCGGTCGTGTGGCGGTAGTCTGCGATTTGGAACACGGCCACGTATAGTCACTGTCTGTACACCCCAGCGTTGTTGAGGAGCCACTCACCTGCAGCCCGTTTACACGGCTCCTGCCTCGGTTCCTGCCTCTTGATCGGCATCTTCGTCGGCAAGACGTCGCGTACATCCGCGATATCGACTGGTTTTACGATAACGTCTACTTGCTCGCTGTCGATCGTGCCCATCGTTATCGTCGTCGTCGTCGGTGTCGTTATCGTCGTCACCGTCGTCGTCATCGCGTTCGTCGTTGTCGTCGCCGCCGCCGCCGCCGCCGCGACGACGGCGAGCCGTGAATCGTGCTCGTCTCCAGGTTGTTCCACGACCGGCAACCCTCGCCCCGAGTCCGCCATCGAGGTGCGCTGCTGCTCCTGGAGTAAGCAGGCGCTCGACAACAAGTCCCATTGGCGGAGCTTCTCTCGGTCGAGCTCGAACGACGTCGCGGACATTCGGACGTCCGGGATCGAGCGAGCCGGGGGAAGGTTGCCGTCCTCTAAAAAATGATTTCTGTCCGAGACGGTAGGCTTGTGGTAGGTCTTGGTTTGCGGATCCCATACGTAACCGCCCGCGCCGATCACTTCCATCGACAGGGTCTCGTAAGCGACGTCCTCGTCGTCCTCGATCGACCGTTCTCGCGTGTGATGATCCTTGTTTGTCCTACGTTTGACTCGCGGCCGCTCGCCGCACGACGATTCCTCCGCGCAGTTGTCCCTACGCAAAGCGACACTGTCGTTCACGTAGGTCGCTCCCCGGGTGATCCTACCGCGTGATTTCGCATCACCGGATCTTCCAGGTCTCGGCGGACTGTCTAGATTATCCAAGGATCTGGCGTTTCGCAAACTCACCCTCCTCAGGCTCTCGCACCAAAGACTGTCCTGCTCCCAGGGATCCTCGGAATTAAAATTACCGTCGGTCATCGTGTTATGACCGCCGGATGGCGGCAAGTTTTGCGACGTCGTCTCAACCTGACTGGTCGAAGCCGTTGGAGTCGCCGCTGTCGCCGCCGCTGCCGCTGCCGCCGCTCGATTAGCTCGGTTTCGCTGCTCCACTAAATTTTGCAAGCCGACGTCGTCGAGTAATCCCTCCAGAGATCTTGACCGACGATGAGACGCTTGTGTGACGTGTGTCGGTTCCGTGTTATCGACGTTGCCTGGATTAACGGACTTATCTCTAAGACCGTGGGGATACAAGTTTCTAGCTTCGGGCAGATATACATCTGGCAGCGGATCAGTCGACTTCACCCGGCGTAACGTGTCGGCCTCGTAGAAGTTTCTCTTGTCCACGAGAGCGGCCTTGTTGTCGCCCAGCAATTGGCATGTCGTCCGCCTCAGTTCCGCGGCGATACGTCTAGCCTCATCTATATCGTCCACTTGAATCTGCCGCGGCATTTGTCGCGCGATCGGGTTCACTATACGACCGATATCATTCCGCTTGTTCAAGCCGATCGCCGCATCGTCCCTTTGATTATTTAGCTGAGGCAATCGCGAGGTATGACCGATCATTGGTTTGGTCAGCTCCATATCCACGCTGTTGACACTCGCCTGGAGGTCAGAATAGTAATAGGGCGCTCCCGATTGATCGCTCTGGGCACGCTGCTCACCGGCGTTCGGCAAATACGATTGCTGCAGAACGGGGTTGGCGGTTTGCATCGGCAGCGGACCGGGATAATGACTCGAATCTTGGCTGGAGGTCGATCGATGATTCGGCAGCACGTGTCGCACGCACGCATCGTGGCTGGCGGATCTCGAGTGATTCGGGAACCTCTGCTCGGAATACGCGTTGACGCTATGCAGCATACTCGTCAGCGTGCCGCCGTGATTCACCGAGGACATAGACGCGCTGATGGGGGAGTGCATCGAGGATTGCGCACTCGCCGGCCTCTGGCAAGCCATGGACGTCGAGATGGACGCCGCGGCCGACGCGTTCGAGTAACTAGAGTCCCTGCTGTGAGAGATTGGCAGCGCGCTAATACTCTGGGACGTGGACTGCATCCTGTGAATGCTGTCGCGCGGCGGCTCGCTGTCGGGTCGGACCGCCGGCGAACCGCGAAGCGGCGAGAAACTCGCGACGTTCTCGTAATGCGCGTCGCCGGTAAAGGACTGCGAGTGTTGATGGGTCGGCGGTAGATCGGACACTCTCATGGATGGCAAGCTGCTCGCCGAGCCAGTTTTGTTCTTGCCGGAATAATCGAACGGCTGGTCGAGATTGCTGGTCATTAATTTTATCTTCCTCGAGAGATCTTGACACGTGGTCTTCTGCAGCTTATCAACCACCAGCATGTTCTCGTTGAATCCGTAGATGCTGTTGTAGCTCAGATCCTTCGCGTAAAGATCCACGTTGAACGCATCTCTGGCCCGTAATTCCTCCAAATATTGATCAAGGTCGATGCTCGCGCCGTCGAACCGACTTCCCAACGATTCCAATTCGTCCAGACTGTCTAGAACCTCGCAAACGTCGTCACTGACCGGCCTCCTCTTCAATTGTCTGTGCCGAGCTTCCTCCTCTGGATTTCTGAGCTCGATCGAGTCGCTCCCGGACGCGCTCTCCAACGATATCCTGCTATCTCTAAAGGTGGAGCTGATGGTTGCGTCGGAAAATCTTGACGGCGGCCTGTGAGTCTCCACTTGACCTGCAGGTTTGTTCCAAGACTTTGGAGAGTCGCGGCTCAACGCATTATCCTTGGTCGTAGCCACCTGCGGCGAGACTTTCTTTATTTCCAAGGATTCCTGCATGTCCAGCGAGTCCAAATCGTCCAGCGGCGGTGGAGAGGTCGGTATCGGCGGCGGCGACACGAGCTCACTGTCCGACGAGTCGTGTAATTCCGCGATCAAGTTGCGGCTAGCTCCCAGATAGTAAGAAGCCGGTCGGAAGGTGTCGGAGAGACTAAATCGCGGATGCCGTGGTGCGTCTATGGAGTCTAGATCCTTGGACGACTCGTCATCGGCGTCCGAACTGTCCGATTTGAGCGCTGTCAAGATGTCGGGCAAATCGCCCCTGGAATGCGGCGAATTCTCGCTGACGTTGCTCTTTTTCATCGAGGATGCTTTACCGCCGTCCTCGTCCTCCTTCTCGGACAATTGATTCACCTCCATATACACCGGCTCTATCTTGTTATCCGACACGCAGACAAGTTCGTAGTGGGACGTGTCCAGCGTGGAATAATCGCCGGAATCGTGCTTTCCGCCGCCTTCGTTCGGTGCCAAAAGAGAGCGATTCATCCCATTCTGCGCCATCTCCACGTACGAGCTTTCCTCGGGCTGTAGACTGGCGAATAGACTCTCCATCATCTTAGGGTTCGGTCTGTCGTCGCTGTTAGGATCCAGTATAGCTTTTCGGGGGGACATGGGAAGATAATGATCTTCGGTGTTAATGTCATCCTGCTTTAAAACAGAATTAATGAGATCGTTATCAGCGGAGAACGGATCGCTGTGCGTTAATAAAGATTCAGTCACACTCGTTCTGGCACAATTAGGACTCGGGATAACACTTAAATCAGTTGATGGCACGCATTGGTCTGTCAGACTCTCCTTTGAATTGCTCATTTTGCTCTGCTTCAGAGATCCATCGAAATTTTGCATTTGCATAGCACCTGCATAGAGAGTGTCTAGAGCGAAACGTTGCGCGATAGCTTCGTTATTATCGACGAGTTTTTCCGTCTCATCGTCTCTATCCCGACGGTCCAAATTACTCGCAATGTCATAACGTAACGTTTCATTATCACCGTAATCTCCGCGATGCTTCGATTCTTGCCGCTTCTCGGATCTCGGCCGATTAACTTGTGACTTCCGCTCGAAGTCCGCCAGGAGGTCTTTCACGGACTTGTTACTGTCGGTCGAAGCTTGCTTAGCGTGTCCCTCTTCCGCGGTCTTGTGTTTGGAAGCGTTCTCCGAAATATTCGGATCGCCCAGAGCAAAGCTACGTATAACGGACGAGGTTTTGTTCGCGCAGTCGAGCTTCGAGACGTGAGCCTCGGTTGCCTGCAGTGGCGATACCTTCAGTGGCTCCTGCATAGTCAGAACCTCCTTCACCGGACTAGCGCCATCCATGTTCATCTCGAAAGACCTGATTCTGCATTGCACCAGGTTCATAGTCTCGAATCTCTCGCTTTCGTCTTCCACTTTCGATGGCACCGGCACTTTCTTAGGGTTAATGTACTGATAAGAGAACTCCTTTATAACTTTGCTCTCATCGATGCCGGGATCCCATTCGTCGTTATCGTCTTTGGAATCCCACTGTACGTTCTTCTGAACATGCCAGGACTCGTTGGTCCGATAAACGCACAAATTATCGGACCTGTTGCCCTCGATCTTGCCAGCTTGTTGCCCGTCGTACTTCTGCTGATCGAAACCGTAAGCAGTCGACGTCTTCAAGATACCTAACGGCTTCTTCGGGGTGTTCTTGTGCCTGATCGCGGGGTCTTCGAAGCTGGCCTCGGGATCCGATCTTCTGGATGACGATTGCCTATCCGCCGAGGACGATGCGTATGCGTAATCGTTTCTCATCATCGGCGGAAAGCTGACCTCGTCGTAACCCGCGTCTGGCGGTATGCCACCCAGAGAGGAGAGCGCGCCCCCCGGGTTCGCTTTGCGAGCATTAAGGGTTTGCGACTGTGGAATCTGAGTAACGCTCGTGCGGCCGGTCCCGGGTACCGTGACATCCTGAACGGCCGACGTCGCCGATGACCGATCGTCGCCGGCGTGCCGGGGGCTCCTTCCTGCATGCGAGGGTCTGCGCGAGCGCTTCCTCCGGACATCTCCCAGCTCTGATTTGTTTGTTACAAAACACAAAGACACGAGTACGTCCGTTACTTACGAGTGTGCGTGTGTATGTGTATGAGAAAGAAAAACAGCCCCGTTTATACATGCCCGTCTCTATACCCATTAGATAATTCTAAGCAAACTCATCAAGCGCGACAACGACATCGATGATCATTGCACTGACAATGAGCAGCAAAACTGTTTATCTATCTTAATTATTAAAGTTAAATTTATACATTTCTATGCAGTAAGTTACGTGAAAGGCTTTTGAGGATTTCAATGTTTACCACTTTCGGTCTTTGGCGATCGATACAATTAAGGGAATAAATATTAAAAATAAAAGTTCCTCGCCGGGCGATTCGGTCGTAATTGATGCAATGATCCCGATAATCGACTGACCGGCTTTGCGGTTAATCGTAGATAGCGAACACGCGAGCTCGAAGGTAGCGATCGTAATTGCGTAACTACGGCAAATAGTGTTAGTGAAATTCTTTGGCATGCCATGCTGATCCATTTTCTATGGTAATCTGATTACGATCGATGTTAAGTCGCATAGGATATCGATACTCGATCATTTAGACAGGTAGGTTTTAAGATTGTTAATCGTTCCCATTCACCAGTCAGCTTAGACCCAACAGCAGCAGATAGAAGGAGCCCCGCGGAGAAACGCTCGTGGATATCCAGAGTTTTAATTTCCTCTTGTTTTTCATCGTTACTTCACATTTCGTCGAATCGATACAGTTTCGTTAATCGGTTCCTCGACGATTATGTTAGTAAATCAAAATGAAGGAAAAGCAACTTTTCGATTTTGCAACGTTTGCAACTTGCGAGGAACGATTCAGGTGCCTTGCGTTAATTGCATTTATTCGCACAATCGGATAAACATTTTCGTTAGTACTACGATATTTTTTTTACATGTCACTAATTGAAGAGTACAAACATAATGGTAATTTTGTTTACAATGAAAAGAAAAGGACGGACGTAAACACGCTTGACATAATTCAATTATACATACGTAACGAATACCATTCACAAAATACGGAATTCTCGACGTGCGTTTTCGTGAAATAATGCCTCTGTTTCCGCGAGTATGCACATTGGATTTTTCACCGTGTTAGCAATTAAGTACATCATGTTAGAATTTGGATTATTTGTAGCTTAGGTTAACTATCTACTTCTAACTGAATACACCGGACAGACAGGGCGCTTTCGAGGGACTCGGGACGATCAAAATGTTTCACATAAATGTTCATGGAATTTTACTTCTTATCGAAGACAATGCATTCTGTCGGTGAAGATACTCGTAATCGGAACATTCCTTGTTCCGAGCGAGAATGCAACATGCTCAACACACGTGTCCCCCCCCTCCCCCCCACAAAAGAGATAATGGTTCGCGCGCGAGTATCTATATTTCGACCGGGTCCCTCGTTACGCGGGGCAACCGAAGCTACCATTTAAATGATAAGTTCAGGCGAGCTAGCCCTACCTTCGTCATCGCTGGAATAGCTGTTGTAGCGTGGCACGTTGACGGCGGTCCGACGGCCGTCCGAACTCTTGCTTCTGACATGCGAACGATGCCCGTCCTCCCGCCGCCGGGAGTGACGACCCTCCGCCACGGCGGCCTCGTGCGCTGCCAAATCCAGCAGCGCCTGTTGCTTGTAGTAACTCGAAAGATCATTTTGCGTCCTGCCCCGATTGGCCGAGCCGGATGGCTTTCGTGTCAACGGAGATTGCAGCATACGCTGCTTCCATTCTAGCAGCCGCTTCATTGACTCTTCGCGCTGAAAAGTCGTAACGCAACCCTCGCATTAACTACTCTCTAAGATCAATCAGTAAATTATCACTGATTGACTTTTAAAAAGTGTCTGACAGAAAAGTACACGCTATTTTCTGAGAACGCTGTAGCGTAATCGCGGGATCTTCTAATCGGAAAAAGGAAACAGATATCGATGTCAACAATCATGAAATTTCCGATGGGATATGAGAAATTTTTTAAAAAAATTTTTTAAATTTTATTAATACGGCGTGAGTAACGTAACAGTAATGTCAACGACTAAGTGAACGATGGTGAAAGCAAAGACGCGGGAGAGTCGGGATGACGTAAGGTATGTACAGCTATGCAAGAGGGCTATCGTGAATCACGCTTGTCCACCGATGTTACCAACACCGGTTGTCTTGTACGAACTGATACGAGCCATACTGATGAACTATCTGATGCACTTATCTGATTCGAAGAAACGTATCGCTCTATGACTCACCCAGCTTTTCCGGTATACGAATAAAAAGCGAGTTTGAAGAAATTCGTTTAGAGATATCCGATAGCACATTTTTACGTCGCGAACCTTCAACGCCACATCGATATATCATCAACCAAATATTTTATATATTTAATTAAAAAAAGGAGTTTCATATTCAATTAACGTAAAATACACATTTGTTAACTCCATTTTACTATGGACTCAACTGCTTTAGAAAGTGAAACAAGAGCACGATTTTCCAGAGAAATCTCACAGATTAAGAGTTGATATATCCAAAATATACTGACGACACCACAAAATGGTTGTCTTTTATCTTCGGGAGAAGAGAAAAAAGATAGACGAAAGCGGAAAACGCTAGATTCCCTTACCTGCTGAATCTTGCGTTCACCATCTCGCGAATCCTGCTCGGAGGACCTCTCGGCGTAGTCGTCGTCGTCGGGATCAAAGGCGGCGGGGTGACGTGTCCTTGGCAGACGCGCCGACGCTGATCTGCAGAACTGCTGCTGCTCGCTCCATCGTCTGCTGGCACCTGCGTGACCAGCGTGACACGTCTGAACGATGTGGGTCCCGTGGGCGCCGTGACCCGCTCTTCCCCACCCGTCGTACTCGCCGCGCGGTATTCTACGAGGGATCGTGTTGTCCTCGCCGTGTGTCAGCGTCTCGCGGCCATTCGCCTCGCAGCTTTTCTCGCGCAAAGATCTTCGGAGCTTCGGATCGACGCCCATTATCCTGATAGAAACAATGCTCAGGCATACGTTTTCCTTTCCAGACCCGGTCTATATTGTACCGCATATTATATTTATAGTACACTGATAAAAAAATACCTTAATCCAAAAAATATTACTTAACTCAAGAAAATTATTCATTGGGTGGGCATAGCTAATAGCTTATTAACTTAAATTTAAAAAATAAACAAATTAAAACATGCATTTCTTTAATTTAAGCATGTATTAAATATTAAACAGTAGGTAATTTTGAATTTAAAAAAATTTACTTTAATTCTATAAAATGTTTACTAAGACATAAGTTTTACAGTGAAGAAAATTGGATTTCTTATTTGACAAAAACAATGATTTCGTTTAATAAATAGTATTCTCTATCTCAGGAAATCTTTAGTTGAATGTAGAAAATGTAATGATTGAAATTAATTTACTGAATATAATACACAGATTTACTTAAAATTTGATATTTTTATTTAAATAGAATAAATATTTACTTCAATAAAAAAAATTTTTTAAGTAAATCTATTTACTTAGTTTAAAAAAGTTTTTGTCAGTGTACGACAGAAAGACATTATCGTATTATACTTTTGTTTTTATTTTCGTACATAAATACTGCTCCGATTCGTAAAATCTGATAGAGAAGAAGTGTATTTGTAACACATTCAACATATGCCTGTTCTATTCTAGCACTCAAAATGGTGGTTTGTAACAGGTTTTGGCAAAATTATTTTAAAATGTCGAAATTGGAGGAAATTGACCTGGCGTATGTTTAAAAAATTTACTGCCGTGCATTTAAAAAATTCATTGGTGTACGTTTAGATATCTCTGTTTTGATATATTCAAGCATTCATTTTTTAAATACATAAAAAATTCATGTAAACGCACGTACGCGCGCATACTTAAAAAATGTACATCTACTTTAATTATTTAATTGGAATTTTAGGGAAATGGGGGGGGGGGGAGGTTTCTTCACAAAGTTTAATTATTTATTCGGACGGTATACTGGTGACTCACTCGGAATGTCTCTGCGTCAGCGACTGTGCGGGCAACGTGTGCTGCTGATGTACGTGATCCCGCTGCGCGCGTCTCAGAGCGGGACAAGTTGAATCCGGCAATGTGGATATTCTACTTTCATCGGTTTTGTCGCGAATACCCGGTAGCTTCGGCTGCATCGTGACGCGCGATAGGGACTGATTCCTCTGCTGTTGATAATGTTGAGGGGTCTGGTGCAAATACACCGCGGACTGCCGCATCTGCGCCGCGTATCTAAAGCACACGCGCGAACGGAGGGTGAATGTCTTTCCCCGGGGTCGAGTTTCATTTCCTCTTTCTCGATATGACTCGCATAAAATGTAAGGAATTCACGCGCCCGTACCTTTCCTCGGAATAGAAGTAACCGTCATTGGTCGCGTCTGACGGATTCATTATGTCTAAGCTGGATTTAGGCCTCTGCGGACATCTCTGTTGATCCGGGGGTCTCTCGCATTGCGTGGGTTGCTGCTGGGGTCGCCTCGCTGCCTCGTACTCGAGAAAGTCCGCGCTGTGCGGTCGCGGCGGCGGCTGAGTTCTAGATTGCCTTACCATCGCCACTAAAGAAGCTAAATCACAAACGCCTTCTTGGTATTACTGCGTTTTGTTCTTGGCCAGATTTCGCCTCAACGTTAATCGACTTCTTTGTAACGCATATTATGCAGTTTATGCAGTAGAAAGAAGTTGAATTTTTTTTCTAAAAAGATAGCTACGCGCGAAAGGAGAGACCTGAGTCATCAATGTAATGACTGTGATAACGCGATAATATAACACGCTAGTATCCACATTTCCAAATTATTTTGAATTTAAAACGTTGGTGGCTTTGTCGAATTAACATTCGGTTGAATTAGTTAACAAATTAAAAAACTACCGGTTGTGACTTTTCAATAGACGGAGGATTTCAGAATCTTATTTTGTGCTTCACAATAGCACGGTAGTACGTACTGGTAGCCGCCAATGGCGATACGGCAGAATTATCAAAGAAATTATTTCTACTGTTTCAATGGATTTGCACCCTTTTTATGCAACAATGCGTATCGCGCCCACTGTATAGAACTTAACGAACGCAAGTTCCCGGCAATCCGATAAGAGAGGCCGCTTTGTAGCTCAGAACGACGTTGTTACGAATACACATTCGTGTAAAATATTTTCATCTTTACTCTCCGGAGAGGGTAGCAGCCGGAATGAAATGCCAATCGTACTAATTACAAACGCCTTTGTGGGGATCGTCTAAGAAGAGAAAAAGACAAAGCAAAAGTGCACAAAGAACTCACTGTTCGGCGGCGTGAGGGGCGAGTGGAGCTGCTGCAGAAGCTGTTGTTGCGCGTACACGGGAATGGGAATGGGCGCCGGCGACGCGCCCTTGGTGTAGCCCACTGGTCCCGCGGGTCTCTGGTAAAGTTGCGGCGTGCCGTAGACCTCCTCGTAGTCGCCGTTGCCCCTGCTGCTGGTCCTCGGCTTCGCGCTGCGACCGTACGTGTCCGGGGTCCTCCTCTCCGTCGGCTGAGCGATCTGACCGTAGTAATTGAGGCCCGATTTGTCGATTCGCAGACTCTGCTGCGACGGTTGACTCATCCGCGTGCCGTAAATCGTGTTGCTCCTCTCGTAATCGGACATCGGGCTCTTGCTCGTCACCGTGACGTCCGGCGACACCGGGCTTTTCCGGTAATCCATATCCGGCGACGGCGTCGAGTACTCGTTAGAGCCATCCGTCAGTCTTCTAGGCTTCGGCGGTGCGTTCGCGTAAATCGGCTGTCCGAATTTTGTCCGAGGCATAGGCTGCATCGTCTGAACGCTGCCCGAGCCGGGGTGCGACAGCTGCTGGGGCTGTTGCTGCTGTTGTTGCTGCTGTTGTTGCTGTTGCGGTGACTGTTGGACCATGATCTTGTGCGGATGCGATGACTGGGTCGGGAGTGCATTCTGATGCGGCATGTGATGATGAAGCAACGCCTGATGCTGATGCGAATGGCCCGGTTGCAGTTGCTGCGACGGCAGCAAGTGCCCGTATTGCTGGTGCTGTTGCTGCTGCTGCTGCGGCTGCGGCTGGGAGGTACCGGGCTGGCCGTACTGCGACGACTGCTGCACCCAACCGTTCATCATCGGGTGACTCGAGTCGCTAGCGTGATTGTTGTTGGAATTGCCGTTGCTGTTACTGCTGAGGTTCGGGAAGGAGGCAGTGTTGGCGCTATTCGGGCTGGAGTTGTTATTGGAGGCATGGCTGGGGTCGTCGCGCGACTGGAAGCCATGGAAGCCGGAATCGCTGTCGTCGGCGCTCTGATTCAGGATCGACGAGATCGATGAGACGCTAGGCCGGGCGCTTCGTTCGCCATCCTGCGCTATCTCTATGACTACCGCGGCCTCGCCCGCACTGTTAAACGCAAAAATTGAGAAGGAGATGCGATTATTATTTTTAATCCACGATATCTGGCCTGGATTTTCGAGCTCGGGTGCTCGAGGTCAATCAAACAATCGATAATGAAACGGTCAAATTGCAAGATTGTAATAAATATCGCGATAATCCAAGTTCTACAAATTAGTATCGTTCATATCATTAATGGGATTACTGGGTTCGCTGGGCGTACGAGGCGTGTATAAACGAAAACGATTAATTTTAATACACTTTTCCCCCAATTGTGAAAATTTCTCGTGTTACTTAAACACAGAGAAATTAATTCTCAACATTATCCCGGTTACCGACGCGCACGTTGAAAGTCTAACGTTTCAACCATTTTTCGGCCACGCAAATAGAATTTTAACCAAAAGACGGACAAGGACAAAGCTCGTGAGAAACAAGCGTTCGTTGTCCGCTGCTGCGTCGGCGTGTCGCTGACGACGTGCTAATGGACAACGGGCCAACCCAGGCTCATCCGCCGGCGGTAGCTCGCGGGTCGAATAACTCTCGAGAAACTAACTAACGAGTTGGTTAGTTACACCGCGATAACGCGCGAACGACAGATGTGCTGCAGCGACCGCATCGCGATACTTTCGCGTGCAAATAAATGCACGGTGGCCGTGCCGTCCCAGTTTCCGTCGTGGCGCATCAAAGGGATGGTTCATCGTCGTCCCGTCGCAGTGCCGAGCTAATTTCGGGATCCTTCGCTCGGATCTCCGGACGGAGCTTAATGTCCCGATGTCGTCTTAAGAGATGACATCTTTCAAGGCGACGTTGAGCGTAGTTAAGACAATGGGGCGACATTCCACCGTGCGAAATAAGAGCGGACCTTTTATTTTCGCGATGGCTCACGGAAGATTTTTGGTACGGAGGAGAGACTGAGAGAAAGAGGTAGGAAGGGGAGGGGGACAGGTAGTCTGTGATGGACACAGCGAAATGTTCATAATATTCAAAAGCTTTGGAATTCATGAATTTTGAAAAATCGATGTACGTATGTAGAAAACGGGGTCAGGTATGAAGAATGAGAGGCAAAATTGAGCGAAATTTCCATGCGGGTAAAATACAGGTGCGCGCGATGCGTGAAACGGGAGCTGTGCGAGTACGAAGCGGAATACGGAAGAAAATAACGGGCGAGGAAGAGTATGAGACTGGGGGGATTATTTTCACAAAGAGATGCGCCATATGAAGAATTAAAGCGCTCGCGTGAAACGTGATGGAATGCGCGAGCGATTATTACAATTATGGATTAAAAAACGCTTGATTTTTATCGATCACACGCTGCTATTCGCGCCCGTTCATTTATTCAAGCTGCATAATGGCAAGAGTGATAAAAGATGCAGATGTTCCTCGTTGAAACCAATAATTATTAAACATTGAATACGAGAAATGGCTCGAGTTCGCATTCCCTAATTAGGATTGATTGGTTAAATTTATTTAATTTCTTATGGTCAATGACGTATCGGTAAGCTCTTGCCGTAGGCCGTGCTTGCTCTTGGCTTACCGCGCACATTTCTTATCGCGTAATTAACGAGTATTTCAGTGAGCCTTTTAAACTGCTTAAAAATGCATGCGAGGAACTTACGGGCTGGGATCTTGCAAAAGCGTCGCCAGAGTCAGAGCGTTCACCCACTGGTTCATACTCTCCCGACTGTCAGCCGCGAAGTGGTAAGTCCTCATGTTCGCGTGTTCGGCCTTGAAGGCGAACTTCTTGTTGACTTTGTCCTCGGGTTTGCAGACGGTAACTCTGTACGAAGGTAGTAATATCGAACCTAGCAGTTTCTCCTCCTCCGGGCCTGAAAATTAGTAAATTGCTACGTTGCAGTAAAAGCTACGCGAACGAGACTGGTCTTGTTGCTAAAATTCAGGCTACAATATATAATTTTACGCTAAAACTCGCAAATCGCCGTGCGCGCGCTGTCGCGACATTTCGGCGTGTCTTAATTTTTGATCGCACAAAAGTAACATGTACATACATGACTATGACATATCACCGTACGCTTCGCGTAATAAAACTCACGTTTGAATAGTCGGTCGAATACAAAAATATTTATAGCATCTGTTTTCAATCCTGACTAGTACAAATACCATTTGATGATATAACTGCAATATCCTCTCTCTCTATCTTCGATTCGAAATTTCCCTCTACAATCTATTCCTATGATTGATGTACGACGTGTGTACAGGCATGTTCTTTCATATGGCTAAACATTTGCAAGAATAAACATTTGCATATTTGCTATGATTCACGATTGCATGGCGATATTAATCTCAAAAGACACTAAATTCCACGGATTTTTATCGGACGAAATACGGGTTTTTGAATTGCGGGTTTGTATATTTGTGTGTTTTACACACACATAACCGCCAAAGTCTCGGCGAACGAATCGAATTCTCGTACGTTGCGTTTTGAACAAGCTGAAATTTCAGTCTAAATTAATTTCAAGCTGAGCGATCGGCTAACAATAAACGCTAGAATAACACATGAACAATAAATGAATCCATTTATTAATTACAGTCAGGAATCTCAATTCACTAATCCACATGAATAGATTCTTTTTTATATTTCGGCAACTAGAGACGCAAAATTTAATTGTTATTTATAAATGCTATTAAATCAAAGATTAAATCAATTAAGTGCTTAACGGGATAAAATTTTTCACAACGACCAGACTTTTAAATGGTTCAAACTCCAGCCATAAAAATATTTTCGTTCTGTTTTTAAATGCGCAAAAGCTATTATTTAAATTTGGACATTCAAAAATAAAACGAAAATATGTTTATGATCGAAAGTTTTTGTATTTATTGTTGCTGTCGAACAACATTTCAGAATTCTTTGATCGGAACTAATAATAATAACATCTAAGATATAAAGCTATGAGTGAGGCGATGCGGAAAGAATGTTTCTTGACGGTGCCCATGATTGAGCGCCTCGTACAGTTATCCGAGGCAAAAAAAACCAAAACGCTTCTTACTCTCTACGAGTGTATCGTCTGTTATTTTCTACGTCGAAACGCCTTTTAAAAATACAAAAATAACAAAATGACAGCGCATAAAAAACTCATATTCTCCGTTTTAGCTTCACGAATTTTGTAAATCTAATCGCAATAGTTTAGAAATATATTTTTATGATTTAAAAAGGATTAAAAATTTTAAAATTTTGCGAAAATCCGCGTAAGGGATTAATATAATAATTGTACAATACAGATAGAACTCCGTTTTACGGCGGAATTAGGTTTCTGCGAAACAGAGTCGTAAAATGAAAATTCGTGAAACAAGTTCAATGTATAATGTACAATTACATGAGACAGGTTTCAAAATTGCCAAATAATATTTTATTCATACTTAAGGCAATTACTTGAATAATTTTGAAAAGGTCGCTAATGAGAAAAACCGTCAAATGAGTCCTACATGTATCAAATTCTTCTTTTTTCACGTCAAAACACGGGAGATCAATTACCATCGATCTCCCAACACTTGAAATAAACCTGCCTGCGAACGGAACGATACGGGAGAAGAGTTCGTTATCGAGTATTAGTTGCTTTTGCGGGCGCAATACTCGAAGAGGCTCGGCAGGCCGCTAATTAGAAGGCGGTATGCATCGAATCTAATTTAACTAAAGTTCGTAAACGACGCGCCGAACCGCTGCAAACTTGCAACGAGAACTTCCTTCTCGTCGGATCATGCGGAAGACATACCGGCGTAGCGGATGGCGCGGGGTGTATCTTTAGCGAGACGTATCTCTGCTGCAACGACTGCGATGCTCGTGCACGTACCGAATCAAAGAGTCCGAGTGTAATTAGCGCCTTTAACCGAGTCGGATTAGACGAGCAGCGACGTCCAAGTTGACTGGAAATTGCGCGATTTAGACTAGCGAGACGAAAACGCGGTAGCATTTGATGCCAGAATATCTTCGCAAAACTGGCGAATGTACGAAAATAAAAGTTCGCAAATAGAGCAGATACGAATGAAAACTCTGGAGACGTTAACGTTGAGAGAGACATTTTATCTTCCTTCCGGACAATAATGTTTTTAATGACCGTTTGAAATGACTATTTGTGCTGTGAAAAATTATATTTTGAAATAACTAAGTATATTGTGAAAAGTAATTTATTTTAAGACGGAAATCGTCATTATTTTATTGTGTACGATTGCATAAGCCGAGTTTTCGTCAGTTGGACTTCATCGTAAGATTCATTCGTAAGAAATGAAGCTTCGGGGAAAACCAATTTCACGCGCAATGGCCATTAAAATCTCATTCGTTCGATTTGCGCAATATGGTTGATGAGAGCGTTTATTTATACTGATAACTAACTTTATAATTTCCGTTAGATTGGTGATTAATAGGCGCGTCTGTGATAATTATTAATGATTATTCCGGTCCATAATGTCGATTGATAATTACGCAGCAATAAACGTTACATCTGCCGGACTCGAATACTAAACTGAATGCCGAACGAGCTACAATGTTCCGACTGATAAAGTCCATTAAAACCGATGCCGATATAATACGGTGGCATCCACCGTATTTGGCGGAAAAATAGCAGGCGGAAAAAGCACTAAAAGATGCACAAAAATATATATCGATCGAACGTGCGGACTCACCCTTGTAATAAAAGAGGCAGTACTCGGAGAGGACGAACCAACGCTTCTTCCATAGCATAAGACCCTCCGAGCCCTGTTTATGCAGCCACCCCTGCAGTGCAACGGGTGCGGAGAGGGGCCTTTTCGCGGCGGGCGAACGCAGACCCCCTTGAGGGCCGCTCCGTCTGCGCACCCCCGACACGGAAGCCGCCACCCCCGAGCCATCGTGTTTGCTACGTACCTGTACAGGTACGGCGGGCGGCGTGCTCGACTGGACAATCTGTAAAATAAAACGCGCCCCTTTTCTTATCGAGACACTCATTCACAGATCTTACGACCGACGTCGCATCAATGTCGGCTGAACTTTAATTTACTCAAATTAAAACTGCCCAACGTGAGGTGAAAGAGGATGAAAAAAAAAATCGATTAAATGACGGCCAATCGCTCGCGTTTCTCCTTAATTAATTTCGAAGGACTGACTTTCGTAGAGCTTTCACTTTGAGTTTAATTGTAGCGCTGTTTAATGCACCAAACTTGGCAATCGCGAGTACACTGGTAAAAAAATATTTACTTCAGTAAAAAACTTTTTTAAGTAAATCTGTTTACTTAGTTTAAAAAATATTTACTTGGTAAAAAATTGTTTTTGTCAGTGTAGAATTGGATCGGTTAGAACGAAAAGGGGACACGTGACGATACATTTGTGGAAAAATCTGTTTTATAAGCACTGCAATATAAATTTTTTAGTAGGCTTTACTACTTTGTTCTGAAAAGAGGAGCCCCTTGAAATAGAACTTTTTTTTACATTTTGGTTTTACGCTAAAGGAAGGATCAGTTAACTCAATTTCGGCCAAAATGTCACGGGTTCCCTTTCTGTTCTCACTGGTTCAAATGCAGATGACATTTTAAAGTTTTCGAGGTAAAATTAAAGGATATGCGACATCGCCGTGATATGTATATTTTTAGTGCAATTAAAAATGAGCAGATCCAATTTTGAACAAATATCCAGTTAACATGACAAAATCGTGGTATTTTATTACGCGACTTCTCTCTCTCTTTCTCCAAATACGCTGGCAATGCAAAACACGTTATTTACAAGACATTCGCGTGTCATATCGTGTGACGTTGAAACGTGGCATTGAATAGCTTGAAACATTTTCCAAGTTCGAGGGATTTGCAGCGTAAATGCGATCGCGCGAGATGAAGATAGAAAGCTGGAAGCAATAAATCTTGGGTGAAATTTGGAATCTTTCTCTCGCCACGATCAGCACGCGGCCGAGATCTCGACACCTTTTATTCGGTGCCTTCTCGAATGCGGCTGATCGAAATCCGTTTTTCCGCTTGCCGGCGCGCCACCGTTATCGCGCAAAATTGCCGTTGGCCGACAAAAATTTCGCCATGCCACTCGGAACGTCTATCCGATAATGAAAAGCCATGGAAACGAAAAAAGGAAGAAAGGACCGGCGATAGCGCGATCGCCATTCGAACGTGAAATTCGTTCGATCTGTCGATTCCCCTCTTCCCGTGACGCATGTTGGAGAGGAAAGAAGCACGCGCGCTGGCACTCGGCGAACGAAACTATCGCTAAATAACTAATTACTCGGTAGACGTGCGCTGGGATGCATTTTCAATGACGAGCACGTGCCTCTGCAAAGTCCGGCCGGATTTAATCCTCGAAATAGACCCGGGTGTATTATACAGCCCGCTATCGATTTCTCTCTACCTTGCCATCAGATTTAAAAATACATGCGCAAAAGAGCGGCAGCGTATCGGTCTCGGTACAAAAGATTGGAGAGGGTCGTGGGAAACACTCGAAACTCCATTCCTGACGTGGAAATGAATAATTTACCGCCCGCTCTATCTCGTACCCGGTCCTCCACCTGGCTCTCCGCTTTTTCCCTACAATTTTACGAGACATCCCGCACCCGAGTGCAGCCAGCGACGAAAAATAGTCTACATATTTGCGACGCTCGGCAAGTTTCGTCCGCGAGGTATTGCGCGCAACGGCGAGATATTGCCGTATCGAACGGCAGGACGTTGGCATTAACATCGTTCGGGAAGTAGCGTCGTAAGGAAGTAGTTTACGGCGCTGAGAAAAATCAGTATGCCATTTCCTAATATCCTTCCGTCGTGTTCTCTCGTGCGTTATTAAAATTTATGGATGGTAAATCGCAAATTTATTCACAAATTCAAGTTTACAAGCATCCATCGGAGGAGCCTGTACGCCGAGAGGTCCCTGCGCCGCGACGCCGTGCCCTTACGCCCGGCAACATTGCGCCTTCAGACGTGATACTTGTCAGATCTTACCTCCTAGGAGGGCTTTTCCGTCAACGAGAAACTCGTAGATACGCTCTATCTGGAGGCATAAGGACGGAGGTCCCGGAAAAACGTCCCGTTTCCTCGGTGCGGACGCGCCCGTAGTTTCCCGGCGCTCTCAGAAACGCCGATAACACGAGCTGTATTTTTCAAGAATACAAAGTGCCGCGGACGTCTCTTTGAGAGGCTCGCAAACGACACGCGCGGAGAGTGTCTTGAAAATCGCGAGCGGCAAGAACTGGATCGTTGGGCGTTTGCTCTTCCGGAGGATAACATCGAATAATACACACATTGTTGATGCGAGGAGGGAAACCCCTCCCCCGTGATTGATCCCTCCTGGAGAACGTTGCGGAGCAATTGCCGCGGAGCGGCATTAGCGCAACGCTCGTCGTCCCGTTTCGCCCTCAGTGCACGGTCGTCCGTCTCGTCCGTGAAATTTCTCCTATACGGAGCTTTCGCGCCACGAAAAAGCCGGACACGGAAGAGGAGTCGCCCGGGTAATCCGTTAAATTACAAGAGCTGCTCGCGCGCGGTTCCTCGACGACGGAAGCGAGTGCGGGCTCGCTCGACCAAAAAGGAACGAGACTCCCGGGTTCGCCGATCCCGAGGAAAACTTCGTTTCCGCGGGACGGGAAAAGCGACCGAACTCTCGCGGCAAACTTTCGCTCTCTCCCTTCCTGCTCTCCGTCCTCTATCTCTCCCTCTCTCTCTCCTCTTCTCACGACGACGTCGAATTAAATCACGGCCGATTCGTATCGCTCGCCATTATCCCCAACGAGGTAATCGCCGAGTCACACGATGCTAATTCGAGCGATGCCTCTAATTGGGGGAGCAACGTGGATGGTTTGCGCGCTAAACCTCTGCCACTCTCGCTCGCATAAAGACCCGCGGTCCGCATGCGACTCATTAAGCATTGCGGTTCTGAGCGGTAATAGTCGATCGCGGGTGCGACCATTATTTATAGCGATCCGCCATATTGTAACTAGTAAGTCCACTCCGTCATTTGTTTCGTTTTGCGTCGACCCCTTCTGCGCATCCGACATTGTTCTGGGTAGACCAAAGAGAGAAAAGTTGTACGAGGGTGGGTTGAAAATTTTTGAGCCTCAGCATGAAGATATGGCATTACTTGTCGCCGCCACTTCAGTATTGCGACTGCACGTAGTTTGAAGAATACCTCTAATTCTAAAAATTTCAGATGTTTACGACAATCTGTCGGCTCAGGCCTATTGTCGTAATTTTACCGTATTCGAAGATAAATTCTATCTACGACGCTCGCGCGCGTTTCTCGAAAAGCAACGTAAATGTAATATCGGGAATTACGCGCGGTATAATTTACCCGCGCGTAGATTATTAAGTACCAGATGATCTTACCTTTTTGTTGTCCATTCCGGGCGTAGAGCTGGTCACCGGCTGGTCGAGCCTGTAACAGAAGAAAAAAAAAGGACTTTGAAACATTTGCGTGGCAGCGCGCGGCGCAACTTATTCATTTGTCACATTTATAATTTGCCATTTCCTCGGGGTAAATAAATCCGCTTTTACGTCATCCGCCCGAGATCCGACATTTCAACGTGAATATCATACTTGTCGTCTTTCCGCTGCGTGCCCTCTCTCGTAACGTATTTCGTAACATTTTCTCCCCGACCTCCCCTGCTTCGAGAATAATCGTCTCGGTTGCCTGTCGAACGATATCGAGCGATCGTCACTTTCCGCTCCCGCGGACTCGCGGACGAATCTCGACCTCGATTCTCAGACAATATGGACGACGAAGCTACGCCTCGGTGTTTTTCGGTACGGGAGCATTGAAAATTTATTGGCCGTGCAGACCAATGCAGGAAAGGCCGGTCGATATCGCGGCGCCTCCAAAAAAAAGATTCCGAAATGAAAGTTTCATTCGAACGAGTTTCCGCGTTGGAGCAGCGTCATTTTACCCAGCGGTGGCTGCATATTGGAATAATGCGATGCTATATGCGAAACACGCATTGTTCCTTTAGAAAACCGGTGGACATTCGCGGTTACGAATCACCCCAGTGCAATTAAACGGTAAAACAATTGAAACTGACGACCGAGCGCGTCGTGAAACTTAACCCTTTTAAGTACGGTGTAGCATATATGTTACACCTCCCGAAAATAAAAACCAACACTCGTCTCACTCCGATGTCTTTACCACTTCATATCTCGAAGGCTTTTGGTTCGCTAATTTTGAATCTGAAGTCGAATTTCTAAAATTATCGACGATTGACTAATTGTCAGTCAAGGGGGTAACCACTAGCTAAAATGTTGTCTCGCTGATTACATGATTTCATCTGATTTCATACGATTTCATCCGATTACAAATAATTTCATCTAATTACAAATAATTTTCTTATATGCATTTCTGATATGTTTAAAAATTTGTGACGTTGTTAAATCTCAAAGAGCTATTAGATTTCCTCAAAATTCTCTCAAGTTGAGCGCCTGGCAACGCCAATCGCGGGACGGCCGCATCTCGCCGCGCGCTTGAATTGAACAGTAGGCTGGGCTAAGACAGCGATTTTTATTAATTAATAACTGGTTAACCATTGCGAAAATTGCAAAATGGTACAGGACTTTTCAACTCATTCTAATCCGCTCTAGTCGTAAATAAGAGATGAGGCGGGTATTACGTAACACCCTGTATATCGAAAAGTGACGTTCTGTTGTGGCAACCGTCGGGATGTAGCGGCGGCATTTGCCGCTACACGGAGGAAAGGGTCAACACACTATGCGAGATGCCCTTGCACGCCGAGCAGAGTCGCAAAGGCATAACGCGCCATCGCTTTTTATTATCCGAGCTGCACGTCGATAGGTACAATGTGGTTGCGCGACGTGACGCGTGGCCGTTCGTTCGGAAAGTCGCCTCGGTTAGCGGGAGAGATCGATTTATCGTCCCGGACGGTTTTCATTCCTGAGACCGGCGAGCACGTACAGGCTCCGGGTCCATCGTCGTAGCCGCGCGGCCACGGCCGGACGTTACACGTGACGGGATGCACGCGTGCACCCGATCAGCGGCCGCCACGCGGCGAAAACCTCGTTCAATCTCCATTTCTATTCCGCGGCGCGTGGCTTCGGATTTTAAAAACCCCGAATTATCAGTCGACTTGATTCGACTTAATCTCCCAAAATTGCAAGAACTGTTGTGGATTGATGTCATCGCGCTCCCGGCGCGACGCAAGGGTTATCTCGATTCCGGAGCGTCGATAATTGAACTTTTCCGCCATCGAGATATAATGAGCAAAATATAATTTCATCCAATATCGTGCTAAATGCAGTAGCTCAATATCGTATCGAGTGCGTAGTTCGATATCGTTACATCCGAAAAGAGTCGCGAAAAACAATTTGACGTATTAGGGCACAATAAAAACTCAAGCAGTAAAGGCCTGTGTCCACGATGCTCTTGGTCCAAGTTCTATCTTTTATGGAACAGTTGCAAGTCGATTGGCTACACATTGCTCGAAACTAGAACTTGGACCAAGTTCTAGCATCGTGGGCACAGGCCTTAAGATTCAAGACGTAAGAATTTCAACCGTACGGAATTTTCGGCGTTGCTTACGTCTCGAAATAGCTACTTAAAGTTTTCGACTGCGGTTGGTCAATTTGTTTAATGCTTAAGTTTTCATGTTTAAGTTCTCTTGCGTGCCACGGGCCCTTACAGATATTCGTTCGCGTCCTTTCCGCGACTCCGCACTGGATTCAATCGAAATGATCAATCAGATCACGTTCGAAAATCGATTATTATATAGAGGGAAGTTCTCTATTATGAGACAGCGGGTTTTCAACGTCCAAATTCAACCACATCTTTTTTCGCAATGATTACACGATCTAACAATAAATTTTCCCCTAAACAGATTTCGCCCCAAGAGCAATAAACTCATGATGGAACCAACAGATGATGCCTGTTAATTTAGCAGAAACTCCGTTAATCTCGGAGCCTGTCTCATAATAGGGGACTTTCTTCTATTAACGTCGACTTCTCTTTTAAATACAATTTTTTTTCCTCCAAATCATCGAATCTATTTTTCCCCTGCATTCTAATCGCGGAATCGGTTAGTCTGGTGACGAGCCGCGCAGCTGACTCGAAAATTGTCGAGTCGTTTTACCAAAAGGCTGCGAGCGACGGCAACGTATCGGCTTGCCGTAACCGCAGATTCGATTGACCGGTTTACCGATCCGCTTCCAATTCGCCCCGCTGAATGCCGCGCGCTCGCTGATCTTACCCGGCATTGGAGTTCAATCGCGTTTAGACGACGATAAGATAATCGACCGTAACGGGAGACGCGTTGCGCCGCGCCGCACCGACGACGGGATGATTAATGCCATTAACGTCGCATTCATCCTGGAATAGTGAGCGGAATAGCGTCCAAATGAAATTCCAGACACTCCGTTGCGTAGCTCGCGTCTTCCGATCCGCTCGCAGGCCGCGACTGTGCGCGCAGATTTTAACGACTGCCCTTAATTGGCGCAAAATTGCTGCTCTAATGGCTGGCCCAGAGCGAGAGAGAAAGGGAGATGCCGCGCCATATAACTCCTGGGCTCACGATGTAATTAAAAACCAACGTACTAAACCGCATTCGTGCGTCCTAATAGAGCTGTTTCCATCTCCGGAACAGCCAAACCGCCGTTTTCTCCCACACCCGTGCTCGAAAGTCCGCGTAAAAGACGGTGCTATTGGCCCTTTCCTTTTTGTTGTTCCAGAGATCATGATAATCCCCCAAATGGCGCTGTAAGTCCGAGATAAGATACGAAAGGAGTTCTACACGAGGCGCGCTGTAAAATCGTCATGTTCACGTACGAGTTATATAATCTCTCTTTCTTACGACATTTTCGGTGTTAAAGTCCAACACACGATGACAATGATAATCTAATTGTTCGATAATGCAATCGTACGATCATGTAACAGCAAAATGAAAATGGTGGCACGCCGTAAACGTTAAACGTTGCCCGAGAAGAATCGCGAGCATTGCTTTAGCTGTTCGGTTTATTGACCGTATCTGGCATTTTTTAATAATACAAGAACTTTTTATATACAATTATTATCTCGTTAACTATTGCGAACTTGTAAAATGGTAGAGGACTTTTCGACTCGGTCTAGTCCGCTCTAGCCGCAAATAAGAGGTGAGACGGGTATTACATAACACCCTGTAGAAACATTCTATTTTATATACGAACAAATCAAAACTCTTAAAAAATTTTTCGACAACGTGCGATTATACAACGTAATATAATATACAATTTATCAACTTGCACACATTTCTTAAACGTATTTCTTGACAAAGTAGAACGTTTCCAAACGCAGAGAGCACATTGTAGATCAGGCTTCAGTCTCCATATCGATTTGCATAACATGCTCATTGGTCTAGACGGTCTTATGCTATGCAGCTATGCAATTTTGTGTGCGATAGCCCTTAATGGCTTGTCCCGTACGACGGATCGCTACAGGAGCGGCGCGACACGCCGGCGTTCGACGACGCCGGATTACGCGACCGCTGCGGGGGAGCTGGTCGTCGGGGATGCGAACGACCGCTGCGTCGCGTACTCAAAATGCATCGTCGTACGTTACTTTAACGTTCGTTCGCGCACGCGGCGACCGAAATTGGGTCGCCGCGATGCGGTGCGCGATGCGCCACGATCTAACCCTTTGATGTAGCGCGACGGTGTACACTCGTTTATTCGCGGTGGCGCGCGGTGAATGCGGCATACGTCCCTACGCCACGCGATGCTATCAACCGCGCCGATCTTTTCTGGGCCAGGAATGCTTCTTATAAGCGGAAACGCTGGCGCCGCGATTATCACTTCATACACTCCGCCAGTTGCCGTTTATGTCGGACGCCCCGGCACCACTCGCGGATATTAAAAGAATTAAGAGAAACGAAAGTCCCTCCTTTCCAATTTCGCGCGTTTGTCTTTCGCATTGTACACGCGGTACCGGATAATAAATACAGTAGAGGTACTCTAACATTTCGATGGGAATTTGCCCTCTGAGTGTTTGATTAATTAAATTTCTCACCACTTTTATCGCCTGAAAATTTAACGGGAATTAAAGCGTCGCCGAGGAATGATCGTGCGAGATGCAGTCAAACCCCGACTGTTAAATCGGAGGCAAATATGTTCAAGAATGTGCTCTGGTGCGCTTGGGACAAGGTCTCCGCTCCGTGGAAAAGCGACGTAGAAAAACTTGCCGCTGTCCTGTGCACGCTTATTACAGTATTCATGTTACAGACATATATTTACCGTAATACGACACTACCGTGCATCGCGCGTCATAATGAAATTAGAGTAGTTTGCGCTCGATTGTAACGTTGAACGTGACGAGAGAGGGACAAAGTAACGCGGACAATTAAAAACGCACGCCGGCAGCCTGAAAATGAGAGTTTAATGCGGTCCACCGGTCTATACGCGCGCCCG